ATATTGAGAAGAAAGTGCGTTGCCTCTATTTCATCATTGAATAAATATGATATTAGGACAAATAAAGATTGTTAATAACAAGTGACGCATCCTTCTATTTTTTACAGCGATGCTTTTTCGTGATAGTGTTGACTACCAGTTTCTTCACGTGAGTGTAGAACAGTTGTGCTACGGTTTTTTGTGATATTAATCGGTTGTTTTCACTTTTTTGAGTACGCATAAATTTGATCACACATTCGAATGCTCTTATTTTTCATATACTCGATCATTGGTACTAGAGCTCTCATAATAGATGGCTTAATGAGCACATTAAGATTGTTGGCAAAGAAAAATGTTCTGAGTGAGCTCCCAATACGATCATAAGGTTACTGTGAAAAACAATAAACAAGTAGGGACTCAGGCTACTGCCTGGAGAAGGACCAGTGTAAATGTAAAACACATTCGATACTGTTTCGGCAAACAAAGCATAAGCTCATCTGTCCTTGAGTCACGATTGAAATACCGCCCTGTAGATCTTCCTTATCTTGCTAGCCTGCTCCTTCTCAAAGTTCTCAAAGTCCTTGTAGCCACTAAAGTATCTGTTCACAGAGCACACTTCGACAGAATCATCAACACGAACACTAAATAACAGAAAAAGTTATCCAGCCTATCCATGGAACCTCCATGCTTCAAAAGCCTTAGGTCTATCTTCCTGTGCCGAGTCGCCCTTGCGCGAAAGCGAGACAACTACCGAGCAGAGGCTACTTAGAAATGCAGGCGAACATTGCGAGGCTCTTGACCTTCATGACTATCTTCTGTGGACGATCAGCTTATACAATGATCTGCATTTCGAGCCTAGCACCAAGATCCTCTCGACTTGGCAGCAGAGCCTTCAGCCCTGCACACTCTGTCGTGCAGTTTGCAAAAGGTAGCCAAGCTGCACACGCGCACCTTGAGAAACAAGTTCACCAACGCAATACAAAGATCTTAGCCTCTGTACACTCCGAAGAGCTTAGCTTTTCATCCTTTTCCCGTCCTTCTCAGACATCCTGCTTCAATCCTTCAAAACAGTCAACTTTGCCAAGTGAGTCTGCTCCACTCCGACTCCAGCCTGAACACCTCATCGTGACATCAATATAAAGTAAACTTTAACCTGACATAACTTGTGCTATGCCGACCTTGATCGTCAAAGTACGCAAAATATATTTGGCTATACTGGAATAGCTAAACATGATGGAATTGACATGCTTTTTTTTATTTTAGCTAATTCCCACATTTTCTGGAGAAGGTAAATGGCACAAAATATTTATGATAATCAGGACTTTTTTGAGGGCTATGCCCAGCTTAACCGTTCTGTTCATGGGCTAAACGGTGCACCGGAGTGGCCATCAATTGTCAGGATGCTGCCTAAAATGGAAGGACTTAATATTGTCGATCTCGGATGTGGATACGGCTGGTTCTGCCGCGATGCACGGCAGAGAGGAGCAAAACATGTACTTGGCCTGGATATTTCTGAGAGAATGCTAAACAAAGCCAGAGAGATGACATCGGATAGCGCGATTATTTATCGTCAGGAAGACTTAGAGCAACTCAAACTCCCGGAAGACACATACGATTTGGTCTACAGTTCACTGACATTGCACTATATTGAAGACTTGTCAACATTACTGAAAACGATTTATCAGTCGTTAACATCGGGTGGCTACATTGTCTTTTCAGCAGAGCATCCGATTTATACGGCCCCAAAACAGCCCGGCTGGTTAATCGACAAAGATGGACAAAAGTCATGGCCAGTGAACAGTTATCAGACAGAAGGACGTCGTGTAACCAATTGGTTGGCTGAAGGTGTTATTAAGCAACATCGTATGATCGGAACTTACCTTAACTTGCTCATTCAGCAAGGATTTATTGTCACACATGTTGAAGAATGGGGTCCCACACCACAAGAGATTGTTGAAAATCCATCATTGGATGAGGAGAAAGAACGACCGATGATATTCCTAGTTTCAGCGCAAAAACCTGCTCATAAATGAATTTTTTTGTTACGAGCTCGCCTACGAAACTAGCATTCGTCCTTGATAGTTCATGCTTAATAAACTCCAATTGAGAAGATGATTCGATGTGCCAATGCCTCATAAGTTTCTTGAGCAAGTCCAAGATATTTCTAGACAAGATCACTACCTAATGAAACAGCGCGATCCTGCAACTCTTCCTTCTATAATTAAAGGAATGTCATATTTTGTCGAATAAGCTCTAATGGATTGGTCAAAGTTTCACATCTTACAACACAAATGATTTGGTAATAGAAAGGATTGACTTTTAATAATTCAGCAAGTAGGAAAGCACCAACAAATCCGGTTGTTTCTGTAATAAAGATGGTGGAAGATGAAATACTTTAATTTTTCCTTTTATCGATCTTGATATTAAGTACTTCTGCACAATCATGTAATAGTTGAGATATGATTGTGTCTGTAATGATGATGTGGGTGTGTCTGTGTATTTATTGACCTTGTCTTCCTCCATACCCACACCCATTCACACCCATATCCATACTTGGCCCTTCAAGTTTGAAACAAACGTCTAGTTGTAATCATTTTAGTATAAGACTTATTATTTATCTTCAAAATAGTTTGTTAGGACTGTGATCATTCTGCTTCAACTGATTTCTTTTAATTTTACAGAAAATCAGCAAGAAAAGTTTTTTGATCCTGTTATTTATAGCAAAAATACCATGAATATATCAAAGGGACGATGCACAGTGTAAAAATGCTATAATGTTGAAATGTGAGAGATTCTCTTGTTCTTCGATCTTAAAATATTCTCGCAGATATAAATGCAATTTTTCCACTTCAGATAATTAGTTTTCTAGACTGAAATTTCTATAATTCAAGAATAAATTAATCAATGAATCTGTTTGATCAACTTCTTTATTAGTATCAAAGCTTAGAGTTTGTCTAAGATTGAAAATTTTTTTCTTAATGGTAAAAATTTGCCTAATCTACAACTAACAAATCGGCTCTATGAGCCACTCACTCAGCTCAATCCTGAAAGTTAGAAAACAATGCATAGAGCATTGACTGCCACATTACTAAATCCATTCCTAAGTTTTACTGAAATAAAACTAAAGAATCTTCTCATATGACTAGAATCGTAAGATTCTATTGAAAATTTATGACCTTTCCCATAATTTATAGTTCAAAATTCTTCTGTATGTAAAACACATCCATTTCTACTAGTATTAGCATACATTCCGCCATACTCTTTTAGTAAAAATGTATCACAATTAGTGGCATATGTAGACGGAGGCTAGAGGAGGTTGAGCTGTTCTAGAAAGCTTTTCCCCCTCTTTCTCTAGAAACGGTTGGAAACCGCTTAAAGCACTCTCTAGAGGCACACTCAAAGGGCTCTTCGTCCCCTCTGCACATATGAATGGGCCGACTCAGCCCCTTCTACAAAACTTTTCTGGTTATGCTACTAGTCACAATGTGAATATGAAACACCCAGCTTTGCAAAAATTTCACACGCAAAAGACTAGCTGGTATGATGCATAAATTAGATAGGTTTCCTGTACGATAGAGTAACTTGCAAGACTGACAACCAAATATTACTTGCCTAGAGTATGGTCAATGCAACAGTCACCACAAGAAACAAAATGAAATATCGCCGCTTCGGTTTGCTCGACTAGGCTGATTTTGGGCTAGCGGTAGAAACTTATTCAAAATTTATTTCATATAGATAACGTCAAAAAAACGGTACAGTCAAGTTTCTTTTTGACCGCATAAAAAAAATTTCAAATTTCTTCTAGTAAAAATAAAATATAACTAATAACACTTTATTAACGATCGAAGTTCAACTTTCAGAAACTAGTCACTTTGAGTATTTTAATTCATGCTTCATAACTAAAGCAAAAAACTACAACTCTTTGTGCACCAAAACACTCACTTCCATCTCAAAATCACTCTTTCGTATTTGAGAATTCAAAATTTTGTCATCCTCGAGCTCTAAGTTTACTAGTCCTACAAAATATATTCGATGTACACCAATATAGTATCAATAATAAGGTTCGTTTTTATTAAGCAGGGAATGGTGGTGTTATTCTCGACTTTTCCTTCTCATGTCAGCTAGCTCAGATTCATAAACAGATCTAGCGCACGCTGACCTTTAACTACACTGCACATTATACGACCTTCATTCTGGAATCTCTGCACTTTCACACCTCCGCCAATACCAAAGCTCATACACAACCAAGTCCAAAGCCACATCTGTACTATACACTGATTTTCAGCTCATACGATATCGTTGACTATCAAACACAAACTAAGATCAAATCTGCACTCACACCATCCCCATAGAAATGGTCATTGACATCACTAAAACTGGTTTGATAAGCGAAAAAACTATACCTTGATGATCAATATTTTATGGAAAAAAATGCATAAATTCTAAAAAATCTGTACCAGCCGGTAAGGAACTCTCTACCGAACCGGCTCTTTAGTGTTATCGGTTGCAATACTGTACTATATATATTCATTAATTTATTTAATTGAGATGAAACTGCTGTAATTTGATCTCCACTTTCTTCTTCGACATCAAAATTGCTTGATTCAAATCGACTAAATCAGTCTATTGTAAACTTCTTGTATAACGGTTTCTCAATTTATTGTTGATTTGATTCAGAAGTGAGCGCTGAACCGCCTTTTTCGTCCTGTGCCTATGTTTGGAACTTAATAAGTTGAAAAAAATATCAATATCGATCAACTACCAATTTTGCACAATTCGTAATTTTTTTGACATTCAATAATTGTAAAATATTTCAAATATGTATTGAACATTATTTTATTATTATTTCCAATAGATACTGTAACATTCAATGATCGATTGATAAAAAAAAACAAAAAAAGAATTAAGAATCTGAACAATTGAAAACAAACATATTATCACTCTACGCGAATAAATCTATTCCATAAACATATAGATCTCTGACTAGAAACAAAAAAAAATATAACTTATTATCGTTATAATTATTTCGTAATTTTTCTAATATATTTAAAATAAGAATAAATAAAAACACCAATCATTGTAAAGCCTAATCCAAACATTTGCTGTTGATTAAGTGATTCATGAAATAAAGTTGAACCAACAAATATAATTAATAAAGTTTTTGAATGTCCAATCATATTATAAGCAACAGCAGATAAATTACCAATAACCCAAAAAATACTAATATTAACAAAAAAAGCAATAATACCACAAACTAATATGAGCATAATTATATCATAATTTATAAACTTTTCCAAACTACTTAAAGGTTCAAAAAATGGTACAACAAATAAAAGTAATAAACCAGAAAGTGGTGCTTGATAAAATAATAATTGTAATGCATCACAATTATATACTTTCTGATAATGTTCAACAAGTATTTGATAAATAGCAGTAAATGATACAGATGTAAGGGCACCTTAATTAATATAAATTGAAGAATAGTTGACAAAAAAATAAAAATATATCCTTACAGAAAAGACCAAACATATTAAATTGTAAATCATAATAAGTACTTATTAATGTTCCAACGAGAACTGGTATAAAAGAAAGAACTATTGGTATCGGATAATGTGCTTTAAAAAATAACCAGCTAATAAGCATCACAGCTAAAAAAAAAAGAACATCTTAATATGTGAGAATATCAATGTTATCTGAAATGCTTATATGATAATATAAAGTTTTTCTTTTTCACATTAATTCAAACATACAAAAGAAAAAGCAAGATTATATGTAACTCAATATATATAAGATGGAAATCTAGAGTTTAGACAATATAAAAACTTCAACTAGGTATATTAATAATAACGTTAGATAAAGTAATACAATTTTATTTTCTATAGTATCAGTAACATGAAGTCTAAAAAAATATCTATTTTCAAAAGTTGATCACAACTGATATTTTAAGGACTGGAACTTTATCAATCGAGTCTTTAGCTTGATTCGAATTCACATACTCATTAGTGAAATTCTTTTTTTCGATTAAAATCTACTCTGTTCTCCTCAAGAAATTCTATTAATAGTTATCAGACATAGTACACTTTTAGGAATTTATTGAATAAAAAAAAAATATTATGAATCAGAGATAAATTTTTTTAACATGTTCTCGAATTCCATAATCAATACCCGGCAAAAAGATTCAAAAATAAATTCTTTTTGATTTATATATCAATTATTTGTCTTTATCATAATTCTAAAAATAACAATTAATTCGTAGTAGAAAATAAAATTCAAATAAATTTAACTATATACTAACTTACTTGGTGTAACTTGTAATTTAATAAGTTGATACGTTCCAACAGTATTATATTGTAATGAAAGATTACTGAATGCAATAAAACCACCCNCAACGAAAAAAAAAATTTATAAATCAGTACTCACTGTTCATTGTGATCTTAAAATCGATCTAAATGAAAGAAACAAATGGTTTACATAAATGCTTACTTTACCTCATGGAGCTGAGATTACTCTAAATAAAAGAAAAATATTATAATTTCTGTAATAAATACTTGCTCTTCATTGTTATGTTGAGAATTATCTAAATTAAAGAAACAGAAATAGTCATCTATATAGATAAATACATGTGTATTTTGGCAGTGTTTTGACCGCCGGTATACCGGCGGTAGTTCAAATAAATGTACGACATGGGTTCTGATTGTTCAACCTCTGAAAAGTATTAACTTCCCAAGCGTATGACTTAATCAGCCAAATGATATAGAAGCTCAATTTTCAGAATAGTTTGAGAACTTTTTACCCATAAGTGTGAAACAAAAATAAATTCATTTTTCCTGAAAATATTTTGAGAATACATTGTTTATAACTTTCAGCTAAAGCAAAAAATGTTTGGTAAGCAATATTGTTTCGAGAGTGAACACATAGCTAGTTGGCTAAATCACTGGTCAAGCCATTCATCCAACAGATAGATAGAAAGATAGACAATTCATCAGATAGTTAAACGGGTAATTAATTAAGTAGACAGAGAGATAATTAAACAAATCGATAAACAGATAAGTAGATAGAAATTAGAATTAGAAACTTGGTGAGCAGATGTGTACAGAAACGGATATATTCTAGAATGGAAATGTAATTGAAAGTTTCCGTCGCGACACTTTGGGTCTCGACAAGAACTAATACATATATTTTCTGGATTCCACATTTTTTTACTGTAGAAAAAAGTAAATCTATATGTATTCGTTTTTTGTGTAAAACTTTCAAACGGTTCAGAATTCGTTGCGATTTTCTGAACTATTTTTACGTTTGGTGCAGTTCTTCTATTTTTTTCAGAGTACACACTCTTTTTACTGTATAGTTTGACCATACTATGAACTTCTTTTTGTAAATATCAAAATATTATATACCGAAAAATGAATGTTTTGAATGTAGAATAAATAGAAACAGAAAATTTCGTAGTTTAAACTATTGTTCTTGGTTTTCGTTTATAGTTAATACACCAAGCATATCAAAAATATATTCATATTTGTTTTAAATTCAATTTTTCCTTCTCATCGTAATGTTATCATTATCTTCATCAAATAATGACGACAATGATTCAAATATCATTGATTTATTGTATGATTTATATAAAGAAAATAAAATAGAAAAAGTTCAAAGTATTCTACCATATATTGATAAAATAAGTATTATAAATAAAATTCAAAATTCAACTGGTTCTACATGTTTGCATGTGGCATATTATTATGGACATCAACATATGGTACCACTTTTATTAGAATACGGAATTCTACATTCCATTAGAAATTTACGACACAATTTAACACCTTATGGAGAAACATATACAGATGGTATAAAACAGATGTTTGTAGAACATAGCAAATTATTTTCAAATAATAAGTTTGATTATGATTATATTGCATGGTCAGTAGTAGGAGATGATCTTCTTGAAAAACGACGTGAATTCCATCAAGCTATTGATTTATATAAAACCTATGATAATCATAATTTCGTATCAAAATTATTACTTGAAGTTATTCATTATTATTTAAATGAATATCTGATAAATGAAAGTAATGATCATGGTAATCCAGAAGATGAAATCACTCGTAAACAAATTGAAACTATTGAAGCATATTTTAAAGAAGCTATAGAAAAACAAGATTATTTAACATATTTTATAAAAGTTAATATATTAACAAATCTTTTTTTTGAAGTATTAAATAAACATTTGGCTCTGTATATATTACAATATTTTGATAAAACAAAAGACTTTTCATCAAATTATCGTCTTGTAAATTGTCTGGTTCACATTGTTACAC